CAATTTCTAGCCATAGAATAATGGCGCGATCCCAAATCATTGAGGCCAATTTCTAGCCATGGAATAATGGCGCGAGTTAAAAAAAACTTAATTATTTTTCAACCATTAATATGTGGTAGCATTGTGCAGTTAATATCACTCACCTTGTAACCAATACAACAAATAAAAAGTCCCCCAAAACAATTAAGTTCTTGAGTGGCGACCCTAGATAAATAATACTAGGGGTGACAGAAACGTAAACAAAAATGGCGGATCCGTTGAGTTTACTGCGTCAATACAATGTTAATAAAAAGGAAATTATCAAACGAGATGGACAGATTATATTTGGCGAATTTTCGTGGCCCAAAAACGTTAAGACCAACTACCTTATGTGGGGGTATGTATTAAATGAGGTACGAAAAACGTAATATAGTAAACAACCTAACCTTATGTTTGCAGTTCTGGCAAAGATGGAACCCCAAAAGAATATTATACGCTGGAATGTTTGCTTTTTATATTGAAAAACGTGTCTCTCACGCATCCCGTGTATGTCAGACAAGCTGCTGCTGAAAATATACCAGTAGTGAGGAGGCCAGATCGTAAAGAGTTGCTAGCTTATTTAAATGGAGAAACGGCAAGTTGCCCTGCTATCGATAAGAGTGCACCTTTGGAAATACCTACACAGGTATATTCAAGTACCAGTTTTAAATTCGGACCTACCTTGTAAAACTCTGAAACTTTATAGGTCAAAAAGTCTGCCGATTACGATGGGCCTGAAAGTCTGGCTAAAAAGCCTCGCTTTGAGGATACACATGTACAGAAGGTGTGGGAGAAACTGGCTGCGAGGTTGGATGCACCTAAAGAAGCTTCCGTAACAGTAGATAATATTAAGTACGTAGTCCAATCTTTAAAATAACTGTTCTCCTTAATATATTATTTTTAGATCTCTCTCGGAAGCTATGTCTGCAGAAAAAATTGCAGCTATTAAAGCGAAACGTTTAGCCACAAAACGAACCACTATTAAGGGAAATGATGATATTGGTCAAGAGTATGATTTTAGAGCTATTTTAGACTTGGATGTTGACATTACAAAGGATATTATAAGTCGTGAGAGGCAATGGAGAACGAGGACAACAATTTTACAGTCAACGGGAAAGGTAAGTGACTTTGCAATACTCCACAATCATCAAAATAAAATAAGAGTGATATTTATCAGTTAAGTCTTCAATTATCTGATTTACCGATATTGTGAAAATATTTAAACTAAAATTTCCCCTTAATAGTTAAGAATGTGAACAAATTTCTATTTGTGTAAATTGAAATGTACCATATGTTTTCTTTATTACTTTACAGATGTGTTAAAATTTATATGAGTGTTCCAAGAATGTTACTAAAATGGTCAGGAATTTTTAAAATTACTTTTTATCATACAGAATTTTCTATATTTCAAAGCCTAATCAAGCTTAATTTTTAAAATGTAATGGTACTAATCAGAAAAATTTGGAATTATCAGGGAATATCATAACTGCAAGTATCAGAATTTTTCAAATTTTGATGGACTATTTTTTAAATTCTAATTGCAGTTGTTCACAAAGTACCATAGGATGTCACATCGGTAAAATATTTATCAGTATACCACTAAAAAACAATTTTTATTAATTCCTTATAGTTTTTTTATTGTAATAACAATTATTTCTTTTTAAATACAATCCAACGTCGTCCATAGAAAAAAAATATCTTCACAAAGGTATTGGTTAAAAAAAATTGATTAACTGCACCAGTAAAAAGCATACAAATAAATTACATAAGAATAGTTCATGAATTTTTTTTAGTTCTACTAATAATAATTGTCTCAAAAATGCTCATAAGTTTTTCATATTTTTCTAACAAAATTCTAAAATTTATGAAAATGGAAAGAAAAATAATTCCTGTGTTTCCAGGTGAATACATTACGGTTTTTTCGTGCTTGAACATTTGCCGATGTACTCAAGCACAAATTGAGAACATTCTCCCATTTATAACATTATTGTCAACACTTGACTCGTTTATAAAAGTTATCACTAAATGTGAGACAAAATGTTCATTAATATTTTTAATTTTAATTCCCATTTCATATTCTTTTAATTTATGTTTATTAAAAGTTTTCATAAAGTTTTATAATCAATATAAAACTAGATACATTTACAACAAAATTTAAAAAAAAAACATGAAAACAGCAAAGATTAGGAGCAGAAGATTAAGAAGAAATAAATTTTAGCATCAATACTGCAATACAATACAATAAATTTTAGCATCAATACTGCAATACAATACTTACAGGACCATCAAATATATTTTTTTTAATTTGAGGATGATCATTTTGTTACTATACTAATGCATTGCCAAAATTTGTTAAAAAGTACTTTAATTAAACTTGAAAGTAATGCCTAATCTAATTAAGTATAGTTTCTCCTAAAAACTGTGGTTTTGCATGATAACATAGAGGCTTATTTTTAATTTCTGTAGTGTATTCGTTCCAGTTAATACATTAATTTTTCTTAGACTTTTGCGAAAAATATTCTCGCCATGCTGCATAGCATAAAGGCTAGGGAAGAGGGCCGCCAAAGACCTCCTCCACAACCTGTCATGGTGACGCCCCGCCAAACACCTGTTAGACCTACCACACAACCGTCGGTATATAACAGATACGATCAAGAGAGATTCAATCGGCAAAAAGAAGGTAAATTCTGACATGTTCCAAAATGCACCATATGAAGGTTATTCACGAAACATCCTACTCCTTTTATCTTAGTTGCTTTCGTATTTAAAAAAAAATAGTAGCGGCAGTTGTAAAATTTCAAAACTGCTTAGAAAAACTATTTAATTATCATTTCGGATATACAGTAAGACCCCGCTTAACGCTGTTTCATTTAGCGTTGTTTCGGTTTAGCGCTCTTTTATTTCAACCCGGGGATTCCCCGAAATTGCTCGCAGCATTACGGGGATTCCCGGAAATTGTGTGCAGCGCTAGGTTTCCAAATATGTACATAACCTATCCGAAACAGTGTAGTTGTGTTTCTTGTTTGGTGCGGTGCTGTACAGACGCATTTTTATCTGTTGATAAACTATAACTGAAATTATGGACCAATTTGTTGAAAATGATCCAAATTTTGACAGGAGTTCAAAAGCAAGACGGGGGTGTTATAGATGCTTTATTCACTTATCAATAACTTCTAACAGAACGCAAGAGGAAAACGCAAACTACATTAGATGCCTTCTTAACAAAAAGGCAGAAAATTGGAAACACAGAATAGACTGAATGATCTGACTGACTTAGAATTTTATTTGTTTTTATAAGTAATATTCGTTTATATTGTTTTTATTTTTGTAAGAAATAAATGTTTGGTTTTATTTTTATTAAAAAAAACAATTATTAAATTTAATACCTAACCAATTTTCTGTCCATCTTCCCCTAACCCCATTATTTACATGTTAAGATAGCCTTGTTTAGCGCTGTTTCGCATTACGCTCTACTTTGATGGAACGTATCCTACTCGTTAAGCGGGGTCTTACTGTATTTATTATACCTGTGTTATAAACTAGGACTGTAAATTTTATTTTGAGGAATTTATTTAGTAAATTCAAGGCGAAAAATTGTGTACATTATTATTTTTCAAAGTATTGTCCATCGCTATTATTTTTCCACTATTCTTTCTGTCAGCATACGGATTCCGCGTCCAAAGAACAACTCGTCTATTGATACTATTCACCAATTGATCCAATTTTTTGTATCTTCGTAAGATTGGAAGCGCTGCTTAGCCAGGTTGTGACATGTGGTCGAGTGTTATCATGCCTTTCCTTGAATTGCAACCATTTTTCCTTCAGAGCTCGGCTCAAACGCATCAGTTATGTTCAGTAGCATTCATCAGTGATGATTTCATTTGGTTTAAGCAGCTCATAGAACACAACATCAAGCTAGTCCCACTAAATACAGAGCATGAGCTTCGAACTATGAATATTCGGCCTGGCCTTCGATGTTGATGCATGACTAGGCAACTCCACGATTTTCTACGCTTAGGATTAGCATATCCATTTTTCATTGCCAGTGATGATACGATCCAAAAAAGTCCTTTCTTTTTTGCTGTTGAAGCAATTGTTCATGTGAAAAATCACTGTTCGGCATCTCTCGGCTTCAACTCAATTTTCTTGCTTTTAAATCATCCTGAGTGCATTTTAACGTTTGGAAACTGTTGTATGAGCAACATTCAACGATTCATCAAGTTCATCTTGCGTTTGACATTAATCTTGGTCGAGTAATGCTTCCATTTCTTCGTCTTTAAACTCTTTCGGTTGACCAGGTCGTTCTTTGTCAACTGTATTGAAATCATCACTTCTCGAACATCAAAACCAATACTCATACATTTTTATCGATGGAGTATGATCACAGAAGGTATCCAACAGCACTCGATGACTTTCAGCAGTACTCTTTGAACTCGACAAGAAAAATAAAACTTCCTTTGACGTCTTTTAAGCTGAGAAAAAATATGTTATTTACACTTCAGTAAAATGACATATAATAAAAAGTAAAGCTTAATGACAGAGCTTTGACATGAATATGGCTACAGAAGTGTCCAATGAGATATAGCATAAGTTATGCCATCTATTGTAAATCCCTTAAAATTATTTCACAGTCCTAGTAAAATGTACAGGGCGTTCTGCCAAAAAAAATATTAAGTTCGTCTTGTACGTGTAACATTCAGTGATTTTTCTAAGTACAGTTTTTATATCTTTTTTTTTAAAGTAGGTAAAAAAGAGAAGAAGGTAGAATGTTTAGCGAATAACTCTTCACTTTGAAGTATCGCAGATTCTTAAGGTTGGAGTAAGTCGATTAAACCAAAATTACTTCGTTTAGCCACAACAATTCGTCAAAGTTGGATAAAAAAATTAATTTTTTCCGAGTCCTGTCCGAGCATAGAACTTACTTTTTTGAGATTGGGAGTACCACGAACAATTGTTCTAATTTTGCCCCCTAAATTAGCCGTTCGACAGATACCAGTTTGTGTTTGACATTTCCTAAATATTGCGTTGCAATTGTATCCTTTTTTTTAATTTAGTTCCTCTCAAAAGACTACAAATTTAATTGCCTTTCCTTTTTTCATAAAATTTAGTTACAATTTAAATAAGAAATGGGGCATTGTGTGTAAAATTTTTCGTAGATAGAGACGGACGAGAATAAAATTATTGTTTCAAAAATAAGTTTTCTTTTTTTTTATATTGACAATAGGGATTTCGCCCCAAAATGATGGGGTGATTGTAGTGATTGTAGTAATTGCTCATATTTGTTTACAACTTATCTGATCTTATTTTGCCAAAAATACTGGAGCTTTTTGCAATTGTTTTTAATGCTTATATAATTATTAATTATTTTATTAGTCATCACCTACGACCTACGCATAACCAACACATACCTGATTTATCTTATTAAATTTGATTTATTTGTTAATAAAAATTAAATAATGTAGGAATCTGTCTGCCTTTAAGATATATTTCTTATTTCTGCAAAATAAATGCAATTTTTAAGTAAGTGACATCTATACACAAGTACTGGCATACCAAATTTTATTTAAACCATACATCGATATGTAGTCACTTGAAAAATCCAAATTATTTTGCCGACTTTAGTCCCTTTAGCAATTAAATAAAGCAACTTTGAATATTGCTAGATTTAGTTAAATCGTCTTATTTTAACCCCAAGAATTTGTAACAGTTCCATGTATTTGGAATATAGAAACACCCTGTCTATGTAAATGCCACCTTACGTTGTCTAACTACTACTATTTTAAATTTTCCCACAGAGACTGAAGGATTCAAGATTGATACCATGGGCACATATCACGGTATGACCTTAAAATCTGTAACAGAAGGTTCCGCCAAGGTTAATAGACCTCAGCCGGCACAACCGCAGACTCCACTTCCGGTCAGTGCAGCAAGACCACCTCCGGGCGGACTCCAGAAGAGGGTATCACGCACTCCCATAATTATCATACCGGCCGGTACGAACTCGTTGATTTCGATGTACAATGCGAAGGAAATTCTTCAGGATTTAAGGTAGGCAATTCTGATGGAATTTTTTGTAGTAGTGTGTTATGCTGAGTGTAACATTATCTTATAATGGACATCTTCCATTTTATTGTCTATTTGGTAGCTAGAAAAATGGGTAGATGATGAAATATAGGATGTAATAATCTTTTATTTTTTTTGGAAGTTTTCTTTCTTTGAAAGTTGCACTCCGTCGAATTTTTTTTCTAGATTTGTTACTCAAGAACAGAAGAAAGCGGAGGGTGGAAAGAGGGACAACGAAGTTTTGATACAGAGGCAGAGAAACGGACAGACGGTTCCGTATCGGGTGGTCGATAATCCGGCAAAGTTAAGTCCCAGCGACTGGGACAGGGTGGTGGCGGTATGGGTCATGGGCCCCGCTTGGCAATTTAAAGGTTACCCCTGGGACACACCCGTTGAAATTTTTGATAAAGGTTCGCTGGTATTTTGACTTAACAGAAATTTATAAATTGACTTGTAATCGTTGTTACAGTTGCCGCTTTCCACTTGAAGTATGACGAAATGAAGACAGATCCGAATGTAGAGAAATGGGCCGTTACCGTTATACAGTTATCGAGAACTAAACGACATTTGGATCGGGCAGCTCTCATGATCTTCTGGGAGAGACTCGACAAGTGAGTTCTTTTTTAGTTGGCTCTTTATTTTTTAGTTGTTGTTTTTAATTTGTCCTTAGTATTTGATTTTGTTTAGTTTACATAACATAAAGAATTGCTCAAACTTCTCCAGCGCTAAAATAGTAGGCTGTGTCTCATTCTCGGCATGTGTGACTATGCAGTGTGTAAGGCGAGCGGAGAACGCGATTCCCAAGTTGTGTCATTTAATAAGATGTCTTTCTTACTTGTACGCTTATGACACACACAGACATCACATCATCTGGGAACTAAGATACGGTATTTAAAAACATCAAACGGTACAGTCTCATTTATTTCTTTTTGTACATGATTAGCAAAGGTAAACACTTGTAACAATATAAATGTACAGAAAATGCGCACACGCAAAATAAACGGCACATTACAAGGGCCAATGAATAAGTATAGTTGTTACGATATCAATTGGAACCTTTGAATCTTAAAGCACAAGACCGTCTGCACTTCTCTTGAAATTTCTTCATATGCTTTAGCCATGATGTGTCTCCTAATTTATACTCAAAGGTCGTCAAAGCAAACCTGTATTGGTCCACTAGGTCGTAAATAATTTTTTACATGGTATTCTATAATTAGTTTGGTGTCAAATGCGGTTTACTTGGCTTTGTCAGTACCATAGAGAGCAGTGCTTGGCGTGGTATATTTATTGTTGGTATAATACGTAAATCCCCTAATAGTCGAGCAGGTTTTTGTCCAAAGCGTCGAAACAAACTCGTAGTTTAAAAACAAAGATTTACATGTACTAAGTCAATGTATTATTTTAAATATATATGAATTATATGTTTGAAAAGAGAAACTAGTGAACAATGTGATAAAGAAATTAGGAAACAGATTAGCGAATTAACTGAGATATCAAAAACGTCAATTTATCGCGTAATTAAAGGAGACGTTATTAATCACGGTACAAAGAAGAAATGGAAAAATACAAAATTAAGGAATATTGACGATTTTACCGGAGATGTAATATGGCGCACAATTTATATGTACAGGGTGGCGCAATGGGTATTGACGATTTTTGAGACACCACTGTCCGAATATGAGTAAAGTGAAGGGGATATTCAACCACTTAAAATATTCTGCATGACATTTAGTAGCCATGGATACGTGGCCAGTGAACCAACGCAGCTTTTGCGTTGGGACGTATCACCGATCGGAGTCTGTTATTGAGGTGAAACGACAGTTTCGGTGTGGATATAACATTTCAAGGCGTGGTAGAATTTCTTCGCGCAAAACAATTTTGCGGTGGATTGCAAAGTTTCGTGATCATGGAAGTGTAAAAAATGAATTTGTCGTTTCTATCAAAACTGTGCATACACCGGAGAACGAGGAGCGAGTACAGCAAGCTGTAATAAGGAGTCCAGTTCGTTCAGCAAGGCGTCAAGCAGTAGCATTGAACATTACACGAAGAAGTTTGGGTCGAATTTTACACGAAGACCTACGATTTCATCCATACAAAATTCAAGTTGTTCATAAAATTTTACCTCAAGATTTACCAGCACGATTGCAATTTTGTAGAATATTTCTTGATGAACTGAACCCAAATNGAGTCTGTTTTTGAGGTGCAACGACAGTTTCGGTGTGAATATAATCCAAGGCGTGGTAGAATGTGGGTTGCAAAGTTTTGTGATCATGGAAGTGTAAAAAATGAATTTGTCAGTTCTATCAAAACTGTGCATACACGGGAGAATGTAGAGCGAGTACGGCTAGTTCGTTCAGCAAGGCGTTCAGCAGTAGCATTGAACATTACACGAAGAAGTTTGGGTCGAATTTTACACGAAGACCTATGATTTCATCCATACAAAATTCAAGTTGTTCATAAAATTTTACCGCAAGATTTACCAGCACGATTGCAATTTTGTAGAATATTTCTTGATGAACTGAACCCAAATATTTTAAATTTGATAATGTCTGATGAGGCGCATTTCCATTTATCAGGATATGTGAATAAACAAAATTTTCAATACTGGGCTGCTGAACAACCTCAACAAATTCACGAACAACCTCTGCATTCCGAAAAAGTATGGTGCGGTGTGTCTGCATTCGGAATACTAGGCCCGTATTTCAAAGCAAATGGGAGGAAAGTTTAATACCCTGGAAAGGTGGAGCCTAGTATGGTTTACAGATGGCTCCAGAATGACCAGAGGGATGGGTGCAGGAATATATGGACTCAGACCCAGATGGAGTGCAAGCTACAGTCTGGGGGAGTTCCCTACTGTATTCCAAGCAGAAATCTTCGCGATAATGGCGTGTCTGGCAGAGAATGTACGTAGAGGTTATAGACGTAAACTCATATATATATTCTCTGATAGTCAAGCTGCAATTAAAGCTTTAGCCGCACACAAGGTAAGTTCAAAACTGGTGTGGGATTGTTTACAAATGCTGACTGAACTGGCCACCAACAATACAGTCAGACTGTGTTGGGTGCCAGGGCACAAAGGCATTTGTGGAAATGAGAAAGCGGATGAACTTGCTAGGAAGGGATCCGAAACAGAGTTCATTGGCCCGGAGCCCTTCTGTGGCACATCTCCCAGTGTGGTCAGGCGGGCTCTGGGCAAATGGACTGAGACAGAACACAGGAAATACTGGACTTCAAGGCCAGGACACAGACATTCTAAGGAGCTCATGGAGTATCCTTCGAAGGAAAGAGCGAATGATTTACTGAGCTTGAACAGAATCCGGCTCAGGAGAGTGACAGGTCTCATAATGGGACACTGTCACTTTAGGAAACATCTACATAAGCTAAAGCTTGTAGACAGTCCGGTCTGCTGAGGATGTGAATCGGCGGAAACTTCTCTGCATATCCTGGGCGAGTGCCCAGCAAGGAAGCTTTTGGACTTTGTAAAAACGACAAATCTACTTGCTGAATAGGACTAGCAGTGGGACGCACAATAGGCCTAATCAGGCCGCAGTGCTATGGGACTTATTAGGACCAACCACTAGAAGAAGAAGAAGAAGAAGGCCTGTACTTTTTTGAAAAAAATGACCGTACAATGATTGTAACTTCTCAACGGTATTTAGAGATGCTTCAAAATTTTTTATCTGCTGAATTGCAACGACTGGGGGTAGAAAATAACGTCTTATGGTTCCAGCAGGATGGAGCAACAAACCATACTGCGTGAATTTGCATGGCTGGTCTAAGAAACATGTTTCCTGGACGACTTATATCCTGTCATGGTGATTTTAATTAGCCGCCAAGGTCACCAGATTTGACCAAACGCTACAAGCTTTAAAAGACAACATTGTAAAACTGCATTATATATGTAATAAAAATATATCTTCTTGACATTGGTCGTTTTATTGGTATATCCATAATAACACTATAAAAACCGTCAATACGCATTGCGCCACCCTGTATAAAGAAAATAAAGTTCCTACTTTAAATATGATTCGGGATAAATTAAGCGATTATCCTGATTATAATTATAAATCTTTAGATACTTTACCACATGTTTTATTACAATGCGGTTTTAAACAAAAAAAACTTGACAATCGTATGGTAATTATGGAATCATGACGTTTAGTTGCACTTCGGGAAGATTATTTACAAAAAATTTAAGAATATCGTCAACTAAATAGGAATATAGCTCGGAATATAGTATATCTAAACAAGACGGGACAAAAGTTTTCAGGACGTCTATGGATTCCGTAGAGTTTATGAGTTAAATGTTTTTATGCGGTTCCAACTGATATCGTAACAACTATACCCATGTTAGGAATGAAGAGGCAAGTTTTTCACATTTTCTTTTAAGTTTTTCAACAATAATTTAGATCGATATACATATTCCAACATTTCTGTCATTTATTTGACCTCTCTAAAAAATACAATTTGTCAAACTCTTCAAAATACGCTCATCTCAGCGAATTTTTATTTTTTTCCTCCCGTTCCATATTTTCATGCTGGCGAAGAAAAGTCGCAGGGTGATAGGTCGGGCGAGTACGGTGGGCACGGCAGCAGTTCATAGCGAAGTTCATGCAATTTAGCCACAACAATTGCGGATAAATGTGCTGGTGCGTAATTATGGTGAAGTAGCACATTTTTCTTAGACAAATGAGGCCATGTTCCTTCAATTTCGTATCGAATCGATCCAATAATTCACTGTAGTACTGCCCCTTACTTTCTGCAAAAAGCCCATGAGTATTATTTCCTTCAAATCCGAAAAAAACGTGGCTATGACCTTTCTGGCTGATGGCACTGTCTGTGCCTTCTTTGGAGCAGATTCACCCAGAAAAATCCATTGTTTTGACTGTTTTTCATTAATGATGACGACTCGACACAAAAACTCCTGTGAATTTTTGCTTAGAGAGGTCCAAACACTGCTTCGACCATTGACAGCCGTATCCGCTTGTTGTCCACCGTGAGCAATCAAGGCACCGCTCGAGCCGACAACTTTCTTACACTTGCCATGTAAAATGTTGTCACGAAAATATTGATGCAAAATTTTGATTTTTTTTTAGGCACATTGTGCAATTCAAGCCACATCTGAGATGGTAAGAAAAGTAGACTTTGGATTTTAAACGGTGGATGAGTAAACGGCGAAATTGATTGCTACATTTCGGTCAAAATTCAAATTGGACAAATAGGAAATGGATAAGCATAGGAATAGAAATTGTACAGAATTAGCTGTATGTTTATAGTTTAATTTCAGTGATCGTTATTTTTAAGGTTTTACTTGAAAAACTATTAACACGTAAGTTATATACAGAGCATAAAAAAGTAACACACAAATTCGATAGATCCAGGTAAGCAGAAATATACACTTTATTTTTAATGTATTTTTTATAATTTCACATATACAGGGTGAACCATGTCAGGGTATTAAAAATTGTTTTTTTTTCGTAGCCTTTCACTCAAAACTTTTTTTTTCTAATTTTAAGAAATTCGGTAGTTGTCTTGATTTCAATAACAGTTTTGATCCGGATGTGGTAATTTCAATGTGAGAGCGAATATTAACAAATAAAATTAGGTAATAAAAATAATTTATAATTTTATTAATCTATTAACAGATGGCAAAAATATATCGGAAACTGACTTCTTGGTGGAAGAGATCTTAATTTTTCAAATACAAGTTTAAAAAATATACATTTTGACCCCACCGAATTTTTTGGAAATTTGATTAGTTCATTTGGTTCCTAATAATTGTTTTTCAAAGGAAACAGATCTTTTGAATTTTATCTGACAAATGAACTGTTTTCAAATTACTATTTTTTACTTTTTAAGGATCAGTATCCCAAAAAAGTTAAATTGTAAATCTATTTATTCGTCTTTGTGGTACCTAAGCAATTTAAAATTAAAAAAATATAGAGCGACTTGTTTTACAAATAAAATAGAAGTGGCCTTCTTTTATTGAAATACAATTCAGAATCAAATGCACTTGCATTTCTAATTATATTTGTATATATATTCAATAACTTTTTTTTTACCTTCACTTGGTTAAGACCCTACATCAAGTTTCGTTTAATCTTAATTTTTGACAGATCATATGGGTAATAAAAAAAAATGTCGTTGATGATGCATTTGGGCCACCATGAACGCCCATATAAAGGCTATGCATTAAATGTTATTTTTTTTTGTCAAAAAAATTGCCCAAATCTATCGAATTTGTGTTATATGTAGACACTCTGTATATATGGAAACTATAAAAAAATATATCGCATGTATTTATAAGATTTATCTTGAGTTATTGTAATCATTTAGAATCATGTTTTGTAAATAAATTCTGCATATTTTAAACTACGGTTTTATTTCACCGTCACCTAGAAATGAGTAATAAAATTTTATCGCTGAAGAAATTCCACAATAATGTCAATCATAACTTTTTATTGAAAACTTGTTTGGAGAGTTTAAGGGTTAACATTTTCTCATTTTTCTTCCACTGCAAGTTCTAGTCACAGGCCAGTCTTTGAATATGCGACAGAATGCAGGGAGTCTGTAGGATTATAGAGAGGTGGTGCGAGGAGATGGGGCTCTCAGTCTACGAAAAGAAAACTGAGATGATCCTATTTACAAGGAGGAAAATAAGCGAATCCAGGGCCCCAAGCATGTCCGCGGAGACCCTAACTGTGGCTTGGAAAGTCAAATACTTGGGTGTAATCCTGGACACTAAATTGTCTTGGAGACAAGTCGAAAGGATCATCTGGAAATCGGTGGCAACCCTCTGGCAATTAAGGAAGATATTGGGCAAAAAACTGGGGACTCAATTCAAAAGTGCTTCATTGGGTGTACAAGTGGTGGTCAGACCAAGACGGCAGCCTTAGTCTGGTGGCCGGGTGACGGTAACCAGGAAGCTATCAGGGATCCAAAGGCTCGCCTGCTTAGGTATTACAAGTGTAATGAGGATGACTCCAATGACCGCACTAGAGGTCCTTCTGTGGTTGCCGACCCTCCCTACATGGATTGTGAGGGAGGCGATGGCGACATATCTAAGGATAAGGGACACAGGTGGTTGGAAAGCAGATGGATGGGTACAGGGTCATGTTACTATAGCCCGCAGGGCAGGGAGGGAAATTCCAATATCTGTCACAAGGGTCGCTTCAATGACCGGTTGACACTAGGAAGGAAGTACGTCACCACCTTCACTTTGAGAAAGCAGTGAGGATAGGAATATGATTACTACCACGACTACTACCTCTGCCATGACTACCACCACTACCACCACCACCACTACTACTACCACCACCACCACTACCAGAAATCAAAACATGGCTTGAGTGCAAACACCGAAATGTGGATTACCACATGACTCAGATCTTAACTGGGCATGGAAGGTTTGGTGTTTATGCAAAGAAGATGGGAAAAAGGGACAGTGATGAGTGCCGCTATTGCGGAGAACAAGACACAGCGGAACATACGTTTTTCATGTGCCCAAAGTGGGAGCAAGATAGGCAGCAATTGTATGTAGCCGTAGGGAAAAGGCTGATAGTAGAAAACCTTATCCAAACAATAGTGGAGCAGAAAAAGGCCTGGGACAAAACGAAAGAGCTTATGATTAAAATAATGAAGGAGAAGGAAAGAGAAGAACGAGTGGTTGGACAAGTTCAGGAACCACCAAATGTAAATGCACAGCGGGAAAATCCCTATAGAAATCGAACTCCTAATCCCTGTACTCGGGGGAGGGGAGAAGTAGATACATATAATAGATCAATATTAAAGACATCCATTCACCTTGATGTTATGTCCACGACGGTTCCAAGGTGTAAGGGAGAGGAGGAAAAAAAACTGCTACTCCTCCTCCTCCTCCTCCTACCCCTACCACTACTATGCCGCAAATTATCATAATTCTTGCCTTATTTTTTTTACTATTACTACAGTACTTATATCTGTAAGGTAGTTGTCTTTTAGATAGAATGCGATACAATAAATTTAAAATAATTCATTTCAGAGCATAGAGGGATGAGGAGAAGGATATATAAATAAAAAACACTTATTTGGATGTAATGTATATTAAATATTTCAATACATTTTTCTGTATATAGTCGATAGTAAAAAGTGAGTACAAAAAGTATTAGGGCTAAAGCCACATTGGATGCGGCTTTCGAAGGCCACCCCTTTAGTCTTAAGTTTTTTTTTTTTTGTATAAGGATTGACACTGGTATACATTGCAAATAAATTTAAACGATGTATAAATAACTCTGTGTATAAAAAAATTTTAGTACGAATTTCGAAAAAACAACCATTAATCCGATAACAAGGAAATATTCTTAAAAACGTCGCCATATAGCATTATAAAATTTAGATTTTTATCTCTTTCAAAAATAGCTTCAACACCCGACGTGCCTCGGCCAGATGTACAGGTGGTTCTCCATAAATATCACTATCTATTTTCTCCCCTACTCTCTGGCACAAGAAAAAAGTTGAAAGATAAAACTTGAGTGAACTCGTTGAATTTCCTTTTGCCCAAGCTGCGATAACAACTGAGCATCGTTTTACGGAGACACGTGCCTAACATAATTTTTTTAATTAAACACCCAGTATTTGAATTGAATAGAACGATTTCTTTCGATTATAGTTATATCCAAATGTGCAAAAATATACAATGTGTTCCCTTTAAAAAAATGCATGTTGAAAGTACTTTTCTGTTTATGATAAAAATGATCTAATTCCAAGAGCTAATTTACAGGGTGTCTGAATAAAAAAAATGCAGATGTCACTTTTGCACGACGCCCAAAATCTAGAGATTGCCCATCATTTCCTGGACACCCTCTATATTATATAACCGATGCTCGATTAATTTTGAAATTTGTATAGTAATCTAAAAAGTTCAGATACCTCGATATGTATGATGCAGAAGAAACAAAGTAACTGAAATTCGTTAAGACATGGCTTAAAAGGTTTCTATTACAGATAGGCAACCAGCAATACATTTTTATGGATTTTATTACACAGTTTGTCTAAATATGAGTTAATGCTCAAATAAGACTTTCTTCCATTCTAACACAGATTTTCCATAAAATGAAGTTAGTTTGAAACTGAAATTACTTTATGTTGTAAAGAAATTTGTAATTTGCCACTTTTGAACAAACGGCATCGTAAATTACAAATTTCTTTACACCAAAATGTAATGTAAGTTTCAAACTAAGTCCATTTTATAGAAAATTGTGTTAAAATCGGGGAAAGTCTGTTATTTGTGGATTAATTCATATTTAGACAAACTGTGTAAAAATGTATTGCTGGTTGCCTGTTTGCTACAGAACCCTCTTAAATAAATTGAATTTTAAAACGAAATGTAACCAAACATAGAGAAGACAATTGCGTTAAATTGAAAACGCAGAAATTGAGTCCAGTTTTTTCAATCCGACCGACTTCAAGGCATTAGTTCGTTCTTCACATTGCTGCCGTTATTCGACGTTTCCTATATCAACCATTTTATGTCCAAATTATCTGCCGAGGCACATCTGTGAGTAAAGCCCAGATGCATTTGAAAACCTTCACAATTTTTTGTATTTCATAAACCTGCAGCATGTAGTTTTTATAACGAAAAATCTAGAATGCTGCCCTTTCGTTTCGATACAGCTTTCACCGAATCCCATTCTAACGATCGGTGGTGGGGCTCGAGAGATGATGCTTTTAAAACAAATTTCGGCCCACTCCTCCAAATCCCAAAGGAAACAATCAAAACATTGGCACAATATAAAAATAAAGTTCTGATTTACACGATATTGAATAAATAAAAATCAATATTAGGACTATTTACAACAATAGTCCCCTTTCCGCCCCGCAAACATCAACAGGGTAGTTTTCAACTACCGACAACTCCAAATTAAAATCCAAGTAGAAAAAAACGGATTCCGATTCTTTCCCATGAAAAGCTGTAAGTTTCAACCACTGGAATGGTGCAAGATTTGTATAAAAAAACATAAAATTGCAAAAAGTGCCCATACTTGTATTGGATACAAGTGAACTATTGAGCATTAACCTACTCTAATACTAGTTAATACAAAGCGAACGCCCTTACCCACTTACTCCCCTTACGTATAAAAGAAATAAGTGGGTACGACCGAACACCGTACCTCATATAAAAAAAATGATCAACGTCTAGGCAATCTCATAAATAGCCTCAGTGTATAATAAAAAATATCAAAATAGAAACTTAACTTAAAAATATATGTACAAATCCGGTTGAAACAGTTTCTAATTCTAGTCTGGAATTTCCCAAAAACCCCCGAATTTAAAAACATGAAAAAATGAATTTTAACTGCTCGTTAACATTTACTAATTTCCAAACCTGCCAAATAGAGAGGGGGTCTGTGGAAAATTCCCTGCCATCGTTTTTTGTGTCCAGCACGGTTACTAAGTACGTAAAGTTTCACTTAAAGCTAAAAGAGTAATAAGCAATACTGTCTGTAGTATATGAGCCCACCACCAAAGCTATTTAAGGCACATTTCAGTGGTCCCCCCTCAGGAGCTCCATAAGGAGGTTGAAGCTAGGTCCGTCTCCGTCCTTCGATTTTATGGTCAGCATCTCTTTTCCGACCTACGGGCAAAACAACCGATATTAGCGAATTCATGTACGGCGTTGATGCAATTTTAAGAAAATGTTAATTTGCCAATTAAAATATATACCAAATGCATAAAACAAATCAAGTGATGGTGCTTATATCGGGTGTCCAAAATTCATGCAAGATTTGAATTTTGCACCATTTGTGCGGTAAAGTGTTGACAACCAAAAAAAAGACGTGTTTTCATTGTTGGGCAATATTTTAAAAATATGAAGGTTTGGTAGCTACAGATCACAATTTTCGTACAAAATATGGTCTGAATAGTGAAGAGATTAATTGAAAAATTCAGGGAGACCGAATCAATCAGTGGTCTTAAACACTCTGGCCGTCCTTCAACGAGTCGTTCAACACAAAACATAGAAGCAGGTCGTGAGAGTGTTACTGAGAGTCCAGAAACATCAATTTGGTACCATGGTCACGAATTGGACATTTCGAGAAGCTCTCTACAGCATATTCTCCGAAAGATTTGCATTTTTATGCTTACAAAGTCCAATTGAGTCAAGAATTGAAGTCTAGTGACCACAAAGAGCGAAGAGAGTTCGTTGAATAGATTGTGGAACAAATGGATGCAAAATTTTTAAACAAAATAATTTTCAGCGATGGGGCTCATTTTCATCTTGACGGCTTAGTTAATTGACAAAAATTGTCGCATTTTGGGTTCAGAAAATACATGAGTGATTGTTGAGAAACAAATGCATCTAAACGTGTCACTGTTTGGTGCGGATTTTGGGCTGGAGGCACCATTCTTAGAAAATGCAGTCAGTTAATAGTGCTCGCTATCATGACATGATAATCCACTTTTATGTGCCTAAATTGCAACATGTGGATGTAGACAACGTAGTTTCAACAAGACGATGTCACATATCATACAGCCCGGGAAATAATTCAATTACTGCATGTGTCATTTCCTGGTCATGTAATTCCCTGTTTTGGTGATCGGAATTGGCTGGCCAGATCATGCGATCATGCCGTTGGACTTTTTTTTCTTCGGGGTTATTTGAAATCTAGGGTTTACGCCAACAAGCCCACGACCGATCACGCATTAAAGAAAAAAATTGAGCACTATATCAAGGAAATTCAGCGGCATTTATGCAAAACGGTCATGAAAAATTTCAACAAAAGAGTACATACAGAAAAACCGTGGATGCCATTTACCCGATATGCTATTCCATACATAACTTTATACTGCATTCTTTATGAGTCAATGAAACATTTATAAGTTTTAATTAAAAACTTGTGTTTTCCATTTAAATTACTTCTTCTGTAAAATTTGGAACACCCTTTAAAAATTTAACATCTTGAAAACTACTGGAAATTGAAAATCAAATCAAATTGCTTTCTTTGTCCACTAGCTGGTGTTAAATTCAGCAAAACATTTTTAGTTTTTTACAAATATTTTATAATGCTCAGTACTTGAGTTTTGGTTATGTCACTTCTTGACATAACCAAAACTATTACAGTTACAGAAAAATACCCCCAACCTTAAGCCAACATTAAGAAACTACCCCTCAGGTTACAATACTGATTGGTCAATTAGAATAAAATATTTTTTTTACACAAGCAAAAATAAAATTTTTCAAAAATTGTTAAAAAATATGGCAGTACTATAATTTAAAATTAAGTAAGGGGATATATACAATTAGAAGGAGGAAAACGAGTAAATTTTTTGTAATTTTTTAAATTAAGAAATATTCATTCTACATTCATCGGACTGTAGGTGTTTTTTAATAGAATATTTAAGTATACAATTTTTTTTTTTAGTTCATTCATTGTCAAAATGGGGGAGCTGTGGTAGAGTTACAGCAAGGTTGCGGCATGACTTCCAAAACGGTGTACAGCCTAGTTCCCCGTGAAATTCAATCTTCAACAAAATAATAAAATTTTCTTATTTAAAACGTGTAGTTTCTATGTGACATTGAGAAAAATGGAAAAAATGCAAAATTGAAAAAACGGTACGCATTTAAAGATGAAAATCACATTTTCATGCGAAATTTTTGCAGAATTTGTCAAAAAATGTTTCCAATAAAAAAAAATTATCAAAATCTTCATTGACATACAAAAGTTCGATTAATTAAGGAATATTGACATAACTGCATACATAGAATACCACAAAATACAATGTTTATTTATTACTTTTTTGAACTTCTTTACGCTTAATTCTAAAAAATAATTAGCGTTGTAATAAATTTAAAATTCGATAAAATTCATATTGAGCAATGTGACAAAGGCGCGGCGGATAACACAAGGTACTAAGCTGTCAAGCAATATGCAATTCAGATGGTATCTGGAATTGGACCGTGTCTGAGTGTTTTTTGCATACCACTATTTCCTTTTGAGGTGTTTTCCAGCGAGGACGCATCGAAAATGGTGGTGGACATTTTGAGCATATGTTGTAGTTTGTTTTGTACTTGTGTGTTTAAAAATTACTGAATTTGCTTTTTAGTAAGTACCTAAATTGAATCTTTGGGTATTTTAATTACATATTTTTCAAATTCCTAATTTGATTAAAAGTTAAGTTCCTGTTTTAAGGGACTCATAATTACTAAAATTCGGGCTAACATTTAAGCACAACACTATCTTCGTACTACAAAATTGTCAAACAATTGTCTTGAAATTTATTAAATATTTCACAATAATAGTTGTTTACTCCCCAATATTAATACTCACTGTATTTTGAAAACCGTTAATCTTACGTCCCTGTAATATACAACTTTTTTGTTCATTTAGGATTACTACACCCTGTAGAAGGTAATAATGTCACCAACATTTCTACCAAGGGAGAACTCTATCGGTTCAATAGTTTTTGCGTAATCGTGTACACCACTTTCAGAAATGTAGTTTCAAGAAAAACAGTAAATCCCCCTTCCTATTCTATCCTTTGCAGACGGAGTCGTTCGACAAACAAGCGTCGCTGTGGACGAAGGGTAAAAGGGCAACTATAAACTGTAAACAAACTTAGGTGCCTATTTCCTGAAACTCGTCCGAAAACGATTAAATCTCCTACAAACTTCTGATCGACGAGTATACCTGTCCCTGTGCGCTCCGAACCCAAGAGGACATGAACAATGTTCACAGGCTGTAACTTCCGGAGTCTTTCGAATTTCTCTTTCAAACAGAATATCAGAACATATTCTTCACATACAGTTCTATCGTTTAATATAAAAAATCAATTTTCTCATCGTTGTAATTGTATACATCCCCTTAAGAAAACTTAATGACCTGAAGCAGAAGTTTGTTAACAACCTAGTATATTTTGCTTAAATTTTCAACTTTGATTTATTGACGAAATTGTAATTTTTAAATGAAAAATAAAATGCCCCCGCTAGTAAACTTTCAACAAACGTTAGATGCAACCCTTACCTGGCAGGTTCGTTGTAATTCAGGAATACGAAGCAGAAGCTCCCCAAATTTGGCAGGACTCTCGGGATAATGCGACAACGTATAATCCTGTAAAGCCTTCAAAGCTTTCTCTTGTGACATTCGCACTTTCTCAGCCTCTCTAAGTTCCGAAGTATCTACAAGGAAAATAAACAACGATAAAATGAACATCCGCGACACACTTTTTTCTTAAACTTACCAGACGTAAGCAGTACGATAACCTTCATGGCTATGTACTCGTACTGGTCCACCCTAAGTCTCCTAAGCTGCTCTGTGAAGTTCAACATCCTCTCTATACATGCTTGCATGCCCATTTCTCTGGCCTGCGCCAAGTTTATGCTCTTCCCCAGGGACACCCTTATCTCTCCCGGGGTCGACATGGATCGGAAACAGCACGAAAAGAGGAGGAGTTCACACCACGAGTTTATGAGCAAACATATTTGATCGTCAATCTGAAAAACGAACAAATTTTGTTGCATCGGGTAAGCAATTACTTGTACTTAATCTGAAAATAATAATTTTGTGTATTCTTTGCTTGGAAATTGTAATGTGTCGATTTGTCAGTTTCCAACTTAGGCGTTTCCTTTCATGTCATATGTGTGCAAGTGGGAAAAACCTGTTATTATTTTCAGTTTTGGATTGTTCAACTATTGCAATAAAATTTACTTTTAAAAAGTTTGCATATTTCCAGTTTCCGAGATCAAATTCGATACACTTTATATTAGTAAAACAAGTGCAAAAACATTTAAACTGACACTAACTGTGTCACATACTCACCGATATATTCTTAAATAACGGAAGACTTTTGCACCACTTCACGATCTTGTAAAGCCTGTGGTCCGCTATGTTGCAGAGGTTCGCCACAAAGTCGGGGTTCGTGTCTGTGGACCCAGCCAATGCGGTGCCGGCCAGTAACGGGTGAGTGGAAAGATTGTGCACAGCACCGCTGGAACCCTCCTTGCCCAGGTGACCCTCAGTGCTCAATTTGTTCAGTTCCATTTCGTTGTAATGCCACAGATGCTCCACATCCATTATTTCCTTAAAAATGGGAATAAATTAAAAAGCGTGTTACAAACTAGGGCCTTTATATTTCTCACTTGCAATAATGGAGGGACACCTTTCGATCCTGGCAGAGTATTTCTCTTGTGATGAGGAACTCCCGAATCGGGAGGTTCTAGCTTCACGGTAAGGCCGGGGTGGGTATCACCCATCCCCTGCCTTAGATCAGTCGAACTGGCCCTTAATTCTGCGTGGTTAGTCAAGGAGGGGGGCAGAGAGTAAGAACACTGGTACGTGGATCGACCTCCGCGGGTTCGGTCTTCTCTGATAGCTGGAAGTAAAGCGGAGAAATATTACCTTTACGTTCTTAATGATTACTGGCTACAATAAGTCTGGAAATTTAAACAAATATGTTTTCATGATGTCAACAGAAAAAATTAGTTTTGGTACTTGTTTTTTTAAGAATGAAATAAACTTTATCAAATCATGGAACGTTTGAACTACTTTTTGTCTAGTTCCTTGAGAAATACAAGATCTGCCAAAAGTGTGAAAATTGGTCCAGAACTGCCAGATTTATACACATTGCAATTTATATTAATGAACTAGAAAGGTAGGCAAGTCCGCTAACACGGACTTGGCCTTTCTCTCGGGCCTTCGGTCCTCAGACTGCCCTACAAACAAGACTATTAGAATAATCACTTTTTCTCTTACCCTCAAGTTTCATCCCGCACTGCAAGCACTTATCGAACCGACAAGCGGGACATTTCTTCCTAGTCGCCACCGTGACGGGGCACTGAGCCCCCCGCAGGCAAACGTAATTCTTCCTATTTTGCACGGTCCTCTTGAAAAAGCCTTTGCACGATTCACAGCTGAAGATGCCATAGTGGAACCCGGATATCTTGTCCCCGCATATCGGACAGGGGCTGTTGATGAGTTGCTGCCTCGATATTCCGGGCTGAGCTGGCAGTGACGAGTGTAGAAGGCCCGCCTTGTCTTCGGGTTCATCGAGAGCGTCGTGCTCTGTAGCATACTGGATTGTGGGGTCCTCCTGGAGGCTACGGTAGAGGATATTGTGATGTAGGGGGCTGCTGTGAATACTGTGCATGTGGCGTCCCTGGAGAAAACGAAATATGTAATTTCAAAGTTGTTGTTTGCAGATTTATTTCTGAAACGGTCAATTTAATTTTAAAAGGTACTACTGATGTTCTCGCTGAGACAAGCTTTACAAAAAAAAAATTTTGTACTGGAAATTATGTATAAAAACTATCACTTTTGATAGGATCGTTGGTAATGATAAACAGTTTAGGAGGGGTAAGTTACAAACACTACAGAAATATGGCAAATAAATTGACATTTTTATAAAATACCAGCAAAAAAACAAAGAATTGTTTTTAGTACTTATAACGCTTCTACAGCTAAAAATAAGAAATTGTTCATTTCTGTCTACCTCAAAAATTTTGTATCAATATCTAAAACGACAGTGTTAACTTAAAAAAAATAAATAAATAAATTATCTAGCGACGCCTGTAATTTTCAAGGAAGGAATTTGTGCTAAAGTAACAATATCAATCAGTTTATTTTCATCAAAGAAAGCTTCTCCAGAAGAATGCCTCGAATGTAGCTTCTAAACACAAAACAACCTTTTATCTTGTTTTTTATACCAAAATTAGTCTTATGTAATTCGCTTCGTTAATTTCTGAATTAGATAACACAAATTATTTTTCTAATAATTCAACTGTTAGTCAATTTAATCCTTGAAATTGTGGAGATAAATAAAGGCAAATTTGCATTAGAATGATGTAAACGATTTAAGATGAATGAATCACACGGCAATCTTGTTCCTAAGGAATTTGAAAAATTGACCATAATACATTATTTATTTTAAACGAATTCTTAAAGATGTTTGTAATTCGCCCAAACGAATTCAAAGAAATCTAAATATATATTTCTCATAAATATATCATAGGAAGCGCTCAAGGCTGCGCAGGTACAACAGAAAACAATAATAGAGGTCTCGGAGTGTTAAAAATGGAACATGCGTAACGTAATATCCAGGCCTCCGACAAATTAACCGACGTTAATTATTGAAATTAATGATAATTCAATGCAAATGTGGCTCAGTAAAAATCTTACCCAATAAAATCCTCCTAAACGGTTTTAGTGCTACAGAGCTTTCTCATTGTAGTAAACAAATACGCGTGGGCCAAAGTAAATTCGTTAAAAACGAGACAATAAACTGTGGCACATTTACATACGCATGTAGGCAATGCCCATGTACTAATTACTTAAGATTTCAAGTCGAAAGAAGTTATGGAGAAATGCTTAATGAATTCGTACATTATGAATCTTACACAAGAGGACTAACTCATGAGGTATACCACCATTACCACCTATATTGAAAGCATGTTTATAAATAAATATACAGAATTCATCTACGAAACGAAACAAGATCAACTACTTTAAAACAATATGTATTTCAAATACGGTAATCTAATACCAAAATGTACTTCATACAGAATACTTCTATATTTTTGCATAAGTACAGATTTAACAGAATGACTACCTACGGTTCGTTTACCACCTCTCAAAAAATTCAACTGTCAACGGATTAAACACCAGCATTAAAAGTTTAACGTCTGGGTAGGGACCACACCTGGAATAATCCCTTTCTGAGAATCAATTTACAAGTAAAATGTTTCTAACAGGAAAATAAATAGATGAATCTTATAAAACCAGTTGTACAAAAAAACAAAATTTTTATAATTCGGCGGTGGTGGTGCTGTGAATCAAAGGAAATGATAAAGTTACAATGCGGAAATGTAAATATAAAATATGATTGTAATGAGAATGAAAGACTTGGTAAATATTAAAAATTTGCCACTGGAAACTGTATGGAAAGTTATGTAGAGTCCCATTATTGAAACGAAAACAAAGGATTCTAAGATTGATGAAGATTTATATTATAGTTTCAATAATAATTGTTGATAATGAATTGATTGATTTTCTAAAAATCAACAACTTATTGAACTGATATACAGGGATAAGTATTTTTTGTTTGCTTTTTTCAGTGTCAGCAACAGGCAAACCTATTTTCATATAAATAACCTTTCGGAGAAAGGGTTTATTTCACTAATTTTAAATTTTTTTCACAGGTGGCAAAATACCTGAATAAAGAAAATTGGTACCAACATTGGATAATTTATTCGGCAGACTTGAAGGAGATAAAACGGAAATTACTTGTGGTAAAACAATGCTGTGAAAGCATTTTCAAATTAAAAAAGTTGATAAAAACCAAGTTATCATGGAATTGAAACATAATATACAGGCTGTTCGCTTCTCACTGCTGGGATCTTCGAAACAGTAAGAGATAAGAACCAGCTTAAATAGGGGCACAGTTGCGTAATCAGGGGACCAACATTATGCCCCTAAAAAATCAAGGCTAACATGATTAGTTTTTGAAATATTTGAAAAAATAACTAAATTTTCGAAATCCGTTTTCGTTTCATTTCAGCCTTGTTTGAAGTGATATTTAAAAAAGAACACTTTCTCATGGCAACTTTTTGTCCTCTATCGAATGGCATAATCAATTTTTATATGCAACTTTCCGTCTTTTCAGGACCATCATCAACTTTTTTTTTTAAATACGGCCCTGGTCATGACCCCCAATACTGTACTGCCTCAGACGTTTTGTCTCGAAAAATTCAACCTCAATGTAATCGTTCCAAATTTATCTAAATTTTTTTAAGTAATTTCTATATTTACTGAATTATCGTATGCTCTAAGTGTCGTTAGACCTGTAAAATCCACCTAGTTATTTGAACTATTATTACCACCACGTGTTACAATAAAACATTATTACAGTTTTAATCCCGTGCCCGTAGTTATTTCTAGGCTTCTCAAAATTCAAACAAATTCTAAATGTTTTACACTTATAGTTTACGATAATTCAATAAACATAGAAATCTAAATAAATATAAATTTACATAAATTTGGAACAAATACATTGAAGATAAATTTTTCGAGACAAAACGTCTGAATCAGGTTTGAGCCGAGGCAATTCAGTATTGGGGGTTATGGTCCTGTAAAGATGAAACGTTATATATAAGATTGATTATGCCATTCGATAGAGGGCAAAAAGTGGCCATGAGAAAGTGTTCTTCTTTTTTCAATATCACCTCAAACAATGCTGAAATGAAACAAAATCGGATTTCCATTTCTGTTTTTTTCAAATATTTTGAAATCTAATCAAGTTAGTCTTGATATTTTAGAAACATAATGTTGGTCCCCTGATTTACACAACTTTGGCCCCATTTAAGCTAGTTTGTATCTGTTACCATTTCTGAAATCCCTGTAGTGAGATGCGAATTTGTAACAGCCTGTATAGGAATGTACAATGTATTTTCCTTTTTTAAATACATTATCATTATAATTGTTTTTAAAAGAAATTTAATTATTGACAGGATACATCTAGTATTTTTAGTTGTACCCTTCTTTTAATAGATTAATTAAAACAGTCTAGTCATGATTGTTTGTCAAATTTTATATATATTTTTAAATTGACCGTTTAATAATGATTTCAAACAAAAATTAAAAAATGTGTCATGGTTTCTGTCCTATTATATTATTTTAAAGTAATATCTGAAAAGGTGGAAATTAGAAGCTGGTAAATCTATTAAAGCTATGAATGTACTTTACATAAAACTACTACTACTTAGTTTTTTTTTTCTAAATGACTGTGAAGTAAAGTTTAGAAATTATAATAAATGGACATCACTGTCAGAAATACATCATTCAATTTAAAAAAAAAATGTATTGCACTCATCTCATTGTCAGATCTTTTCAAATCTAAAAATTCTAACGAAATTTGAATGTCTGCGATTACTTTCTTTTAACTGAAAATTTTGATTTCCCAATAATTTTAATGAAACATGTTATCAAATAAATTAATGTTTTTACGAAAAATTAGATTTGTATCAAAAATCTGTTACTTTGGTAATGTTTCAAAACGAAACTAAACATCGGTTTTTTAGCACAATGAAAAAACGATGTGAACAATTAACAAGCGAATTCAATCAGCAGAAAAACTAGAAATTAATTAGTGTTTTTGTATGTTAACTAATACCGAAAGAAAAAAAGCAAAAAGTAGTGACATTCGCAAGGAGCAGTGCTAACGGCTGTGTTTACAAGAATTAATACGACTAGAAAATAACAGAGAATTGCAAAACTGTAATCACAACGAGGTACAGTTAAGAGCTTAACAGTTTTTTTTACACCCGTCTAATGACGGCAACAATTATAACTTCATTAAAGAATGCAAAATTCACCCAACTGTGTGATACCAAATTAATAGTTGCAATTTTTTATAGGAATAAAATTAATTATATAACATACAATAAATACTGACGTAGATTAGTATAAATCAGCAATCCTTGACAATTTATATTCATTGATTATACAGTTATTTTACCTTTCTAATTATCCTTAAACTGTTTCACAAATTAAATGTTTTATATAATTTATCATTTATCAGTACCTATTTTTTTTAAATTTATTTATAAAAAATAATATTGACTAGCCAAAATAAAGAAAAATTTGCCTTTCCCTAAAATTTAATGAAAAACAATAATTAATAGTAACAAAGAAATACTTCAAAATGAAAATAACTGATAGAAATAAAGAATTTTAACATTTCACGTAATTTTTATGGTGTTGCGTAAACAATACTGGTAAGATAAAATAAAAAAACGCACTAATGTAGAAATAAAGAAAAGTAACCTTTAGTGACAAACATATAGGGTGAATTGTCAGTGTTGCGAGAAACAACTACTCCGAGAGCTATATGCCCCTACCGGCATTGAATTATACTCTCAACACCTAGTGCAACAGCTAGGATTGTTCGTCAGTTTAACCCACCAGGCACAGACCGGTTTCAGACTTATAATTCAATGCCGGTAGGGGCATATAGCTCTGGGAGTAGTTGTTTCTCGCAACACTGACAATTCAAACATTGTGTTACGCCCTCTGTGGATGGCAGTAATGCAACAAAGTACCTGCAGTTAGCAGGTCGCTTCCTACTGTAGCCATTTGAATGGCACAGTTGGGAGTCCGCACGACAGACGGAGCCATTTGCGATCCCGCGTACAAACATATAGGGTGTTTATAAACTTATTAATTCATTTACAGTAGGAAATAGGTCTTGATAAAAGAAGCCGATTGCCAAAAATTTAGGTTCGTAAAGTTTGTTTAGAAATAGCAAAAAACCATATTTTTTTATAATATCCACTGATCGAGAACCGCTGACTTATTTAAAGTGTAACTGAATCTAGCAATGTGACCACTTGTTGCCAACTATTACTATTTTACGAATTAAGGCAAAATTCATAGTGCACTAACAGAAAAAATACATGTTTTATGTAATTTTTAGAAAAATAATGCTGATAAAATAACGAGAAACAAAATAATCGATACAGAAAACGAAAAAAAATGTCCATCTCTAAACCTTAATGAACAGCAACATAACTTCACTTCACTTCAATTGTCAGGAAGATTTCAAGAAAAACATAATCATTAGGAATAATTAAAAAAACAATAGGAATAACGTGATTTAATATAATCTTCAAAATAAATAGGTCGTTTTGCGTTTTACGCAATTTCTTACTTTGTAACTCAGAAAATACAATTAAAATAACTCACCTGTATGGGACTGTGAGTGGGAGAGAACTGCTGAGTCGGCGATACAGAGACCGACACGCTGCTGTAGCTGCAGCAGCTGGAATGCGACGCATCGCTGTTGTTCCTGCTCAGGTTTGGCGTGAGAGTAATGTGTCGTTGTGTCAAAGGGCTCTGATTTGGGGAGCTGAAGACGCTGTATGCTGAGTGGATGGCCGAGTCGGGGCTGGGGGTCGGAGGAACGTTTAAAGCCTTGTGCATGAGATCCTTATGGCTTATGATTGGCACTCCTGGAACAAGATGCGATAGGATGCAATTTCGCTAAATCACACATTTTTGCATATGTTTCACTAAGTGATAATATTTGAAATTGTTTTTCCTTATTACGTTAATGGACTGTACACCTATAAATTGGTAAATTATGCTTCCTATACTCCAATAACAAAATAGTAAGTAGTGACTCATTGACTCATGGGGTGTTGGGGGTCAGTTGTTGTTCCGCATTTGGAGACATTACATCTAACTGTGAATTTTAAGTTTTTTAATGCAGAGACTAGTTTGTGCATACGGGCACTAAAGCACGCCATTATTTGAGGTTACACTAGCTTGTCCAGCAGCGAGGTACGAAAATAACTAAAAAGAGGATAAAAATTAAGTTTTCACGGCGGAATTTGAAAAAATATACTATTGATATGTATTTCTAAAGGTCTGTATAAATATGAGCTCCACTCAAAGTTACACCCTATATACAGGGTGTTAGAAGTTTGACTGCCTCAATTTTATAAGAATATAATAAAATAAACAAAAAAACTTTATATGACATGGGTCCTAAACTCAAACAATTCCGAGAAAAGAATTATCAAAATCTCCAACTTGATGTACAAAAGTTGGATTAATTAAGGAATATTGACATAGCTGCGTCTAGAGAATACCATAAAATACAATGTTTACCACTTTTTCGAACATCGTTATGCTTAATTTTAAAAAATAATTAACATTGTAATAAATGTAAAATTCGATAAAATTCATATCGACCAATGTGGCAACGGCGCGGCGGATAACACGAGGTACTATGCTGTCCAGCATTACGCAATTCAGTTGGTATCTGGAATTGAACTGTGTCTGAGTGTTTTTGTGTACCATTACTATTTCCTTTTCTCGAGGTGTGTTCCAGCAAGTGCGCAAAAATTTGATTTGAAGGCGTCATGTGTGCATTGAAATTGGTGATGGACATTTTGAGCATATGTTGTAGTTTGTTTTGTACTTGTGCGTTTAAAAATTACTGAATTTTGCTTTTTGGTAAGTACTAAAATTATTTTTAATACATATGATTATTTGGATGACGTGAATCTTTGGGTATTTTAATTACATATTTTTCAAATTCACAACTTGTTTAAAAGTTAAGTTCCTGTTTTAAGAGACTCATAATTACTTAAATTTTCGTACTACAAAATCGATACATTTTATTTTATTTATTTAAAAACTGGAAAACAATTGACTTGAAATTTGCTAAATGTTTCACAATAATAGTTGTTCACATTTTTCCATAGGACAAGTCTGCTGCATGCACACGTAGTATGCATCAGCTGTGTAGCACTAGGTTAAACGTTGTTGTCATGTTGTGATGAAACTCCCCAGTATTAATACTCGCTGTATTTTGAAAGCTGTTAATCTTACGCCCCTGTAATATACAACTTTTTTTGTTCATTTATGATTACTCTATCTCATACTGAAGTAATGGCCGTCAAACTTCTTACACCCTTTATGTTTGGTTTAGACAATGAGTTTTAATTGTTGGTATATGAGATGATATATTGTTATTTTTTTCTACTGTTTTCATCGTACTATAATTTTGTTTTTTTCTATTAGCTTGGTTTTTCGATTTCGTCTTAAGTTGCGAAAGTTCTTTTAAACATTTTTTTTATTGGTTACATTTTATACTCAATTTTAAAGGTAAGATTTTTAAAAAATCTATCAATCTTCCTACAGATGGCATATTTAGTGTAATTTTCAATTTCAATTCTTTTCCTGTCACAGGTATTTCGCTTTTTTACACTTTCACCACTTTTAAACACATGGTGAACACTTCTGATGGACAGTTTTGTTAACAGACTGAACATTTCCACGGCATCACTCACTGACATATCTGCATTTTGTACTTGAATTCCCTTATACACATTGTTTATCATAAAATGTTCTTGACATGTTAAATTTAGTCATTTTGAACTGCCCTGATTACCAAATTGGCCACTAACACCCACACAGAATTATATTTTTTTGCAATTAATTAAATGTGAAAATAATTTCTTTCCATTTGTACGCTTATGACACACACTGACACGCTCGGCTAGAAACTGAGAGATTTCAAAAAGTCAAATCATGCAATCTTTCTTTTTGGACACGATAAGATAGAAATGGGCATTTCAAGTGTGAGAGTAATTTGAGCATATTATTGGAACACAATGCAAAAGGAACGGCACAATCAAATTTCTATGAGGAGAATACGCAAATTTATTTTATTATATAAAGAAAGAATAAAAATAGTAGTTTGATTTATTGAATTTACCTGAAACAAATCTGCAAAAGGTTGTAATTGTAAGGTGATAGAATTGCTACGTATGAAAGATTTTGTGTTTGCATATTTCCTTGTCCAGAATACTATAAAACAGTGTACGAGTAGAAAGTTAGAACTGGCGTTAGATTACCAAAACACCTACATTTTATTACGCCAATAAAATACAAGCACAATACATGGAACAATTGTATTGATAATTTAATGTCAATAAAAGTGCTTTTTCAAGTTTACGACACATTAGCTGTATTGCACAACGGATTTGAATTAAGTTTTGTAAATGTGACAAATTTGCAGTGAACCGTGAAGTCTAAAATGGATATAATGTCAAGAGATAAATCAATAGATAAATAAGCAACGAGCTATCACATTTCATAAGGTTTTTTTGTCGTGTACTGATAACTAACGAGAAAAAAATTTAACGAGCAGGTTACGTCATAAAATTTGCGTGTTATTAATAGAATTTTACTAAGAGATGACCTAATTTGTATCGGCACGCTAAAAAAACAATTAAGCAAAACAAATTCTTACTTGCGCTAGTCTTGGAAACTACTGAATTGGTTTAGAAATTTCTTCGATGAAGTGGATGAACTGAAAATTATATGAAGAAAGACCATTGGTCACTACGAAATGCTTACCTGTTACAGGATGACGTTGGCTAAGTAGTGGGGAATTGCTGGGTGTACTGTGAAGTGAGTAGTTACCCATAGGGGGTTGTTTCAGTCGCAGGATTGGACTCTCTTTCGAGTCCGACGTACAAGATTGCTTGGATTGTGATAGCGACAGGTTTTCGGGAACCTGTAATAAAAATAATGCGACATGTGGAAGTGTAGATAATAATCGCTACAATTTCAACTCACCTGACTCGAGACGCCTTCATCCACGCACATACCATCTCTCTCTCCGTCTGACAGCTCACCCTCCCAACTCATGGGCCTCGGTATGTCGTCGCGTTTTTTCTTGGACCTCATATTCACCGCCTGAAAGTCTATTCTGGCAACTTCGGCATCGGAACTATCCAGGATATCAGTGGACCCTGAATAAAAAAAATCTGAAATTGCCCTTTTAACAAAATAGTACAAAGATACAGGGTGCGAAACTAAAGGAAGATTCCGTAGCTCTGACAATATATTAACCTTACAGACTTAATAATACAAAAAAGTGTAAAATTTTCAAACATACTGGGAGTCCCATTTCTTCTGGATGTTACCGCATAATTTTTTCATAAGGAGCCTTCTGTATATTATTGTATTTTTTAATTTCTTTAATTTTCTAATAAACAAATATTACACCACAGTATAGTAGGTACTAATTTGAATATATATATATATATATATATAAACGAGTATATGTCTGTAACCTCTACGTACATTCTCTGCCAGACACGCCATTATCGCGAAGATTTCTGCTTGGAATACAGTAGNNNTTTATTTCAATATATATATATATATATATATATAACTATGGTTACCGATAACAATTTTATTAACATAGCCCTAATCCACTTCTTTAGAACAGGTATAAAGAAACATAATATCTAAGATATTAAACAATTCTATCACACTTGTAGATCACAGAACAGAGAAGGGTATACATACTTCCTTTTATAAAAACTGACTTGCTCAAGATCACAATTTTGTATTCCCTAGAAATATGTTTATAAAAAAGTGTATACAGTATGGGTATATCTTGTTCAAGATTTACAAATACAACTGGACAAATTAAAAAAAAATAACTTGGTACAACTATTTGATTGAGGCATTTTTTGTGTTACTCATATTATCAGAGCCATGGAAGAATCCGTTTCAAGTGGGACAACCTGTATAAAGTTTATATAATAAGTATTTTGAACATAAAACATTTTAGATAAGATTACACCGATTAAAAGAGACATACCATTTGTCATCAAGGCGGCTGGGTGGGGGGCACTCCTCGTTCTCTGTGGGGGTTCGCTAGGAGGGTGGTGGTCCCCATTGGAAAGGACCTGGGGCGGATAAGGCTCCATGTTAATTGGAGTAACGGATACGTTGGGTGACCTCATGTCTGCGGCCATGCTTAGCCTGAGATCAGCTCACCCCGATGGCCGGAATGGTGGTGGTTTTTGGCATTGTTTGAGGCGGTGGCGATTTAAGGGTGGCCGAGCATTCACTGGAAAAGAAAGAAGCGATAAGTTGCAAAATCATACAGTGAAAAAAGTTATTTTAATACGGTTGTCTCTCTTCCGGTTTAATTCAATGTTACTTTCAAAACATCAGGATAAAGATTTAGGAATTTCAAATTTTTTTAACCAATCAGAGACGTCAGCTTCTCCAGAAGGTATAACACTTTTTTTTGTGGGTAATAAGGAAATAACAAATTTTTTCAAGAAGCTGACATCATGTGCAGTGATGTAATGCGAAAATTAGACAATTTGCTTCATACGAATTATCGCAATGGTTTTAAACTGAGTCAATATATGATTGTGCGTCCTAGCAAACAAGTGTATTAAATAATGTGACGTATATGTCATATCATATGATTTTATAGCAATGTCTGATAACAAATTAGACTCCAGGTTATCTAATTTTTCAAAATTCCCATATTATTTTCAAAACGAAATGTTCTTCTTGAGGATGCAGCACCCATTATAGAAGTATTCTTTTTTAATCGACTATACAGATCTTTTGCATACCTACCTAGATTTTTAGTATCAAAGAACACTGTTTGACTTTATTTGATAAAATTTAAAGAAAAAATGTAAAATTTATTTGATTTAGCTCATAGAGTAAAAAATTCGACAGCAAATATTCTTAATTAGACTATTCAGTTTTTTCTCGTGTCTCAAAAACCGCTTAATTAATAGGAAGCTAAATCAGTTTTTAATGTTTGTTGTAATTTTCAAACAAATGACGAAAAAAGAAAAAAGGAAAATATACCATTACAGTTTTTGCGAAGTGTTTTTTTATATTGAAAATTTTCCTTTAAAAATTTGTACTTAGGAAAAAGAACTGAAAAAATTCTAGATTACTGGACTTTTTGAAGTCAATTACTAAAATCTCCTTTTAGTAGTGTTCGAGGAAATAAGACTATTTTTAAACAATAAAATTGGGCACGTTTATCTTCAAGTAACTGTAAATTTCGGAACTAAAAATATCTCCTACACAATCATGAAGAACTCATGTTTATTGATTAATAGCATAGATATAACTAAAAATAGAATTATCTAATGTCCTAGTCAATTGTTGGAAAAATTAAAATTCGCGATTTACAAGTACCTACTTAATAAAAATATGAATGAAATAGTACTTGATCCTGCTAAAATTTAAAGTAATAAATGTAATTTTAAGTCTAATCCAGATCTACAAACAATATTCACGTACAAATGTTTTTAAACAAATGTCCTGTGAGTACACATGTCCGCAAGTGGCCCATTTTAAGTATTACGTCAAGAGCGCCAGCCTGACGTAAGGACAAAGGGTTTCAGGAAAAGGTCCACCACAGATTGGCGCCAGAAACTGAATACATATACCTGCGAGCGACTCCACACAAGGACTCTTCAACGAACGCTCGCTCCGACAATATTTCTTCTCGCTAAACTTTGTTTTCAATAAAAATACTTTTATTTTACCATTTAGAGTTTTATTTAGCTGCATGCCGAAAGCAACCCTCAGTGCGTTACAAAAAAAAACATTAATTCTTGTTATTTGCCCCTCAACAAAAGTTTAAGAGCGGAAATAGTCCATATCAGAAAATAGTATTCATTCCATTTCAGTATTTCAAACCATATATGTTTCAAGAAAGTTAATTGAAAAGATCGGTCTATTTATGCGCATACAAAATATTTAGAATTGCAATATTCTGAATTTCCCGTCTTTGTAAACAAACATGTCCACACTATTTTTATGCGGGCAAATGTTTGTTTAAAACTTTCCATCCTCCACAGAAAACCAAAAACACAGACACATTAGCATAAATACTTACAAACACTTTTAAGTAAATAGTTTTTATAGATGTTTATGTATGATTACCGGAAAAAGTATGAAGTATGTAGATCTGGACTACGCTTTATAGACCAGGCGGGATCTGTTTTGGCGTAGATGTTTTATATGTATAGTATCGTTAATTTTTGCTTTAATAGCTCCAAAATGATATAACAAAACATAATTTCACTATGCGCGCGCTTCAAAACGTGTGCTAAACTTATTATTAAAAATATAGTGAAAAAAATTGGAAAAAAATCAATTTTTTTTGTTTCTTTTTTCAACACAGTTCAAAAACTATTCATTTAAGAGAAAAATTGAATAGGAAAAGATTCGTAATTAAATTTTACACAAGATATACCTATTTTCAAATAAAAAATACAACATAATTATTGCAAATATAGCAAAAACAACAAAAAAAGTGAAAAAAATTATAAATTTTTGCGATTTTTTAAAAGTACTTATATTATAAGTAGGATCTTCATACTTGGCCCAAATCTTTTTGATATAATAAAACATCACACCAATTTTCGTTAAAATCGGTCCGATAGTTTTAGAGTAATAATTTTGCAATCCAGATTTTTGAAAAAAAATGGAAATTTTTGCAAATTTAACCTCAACTTTAAAATGCGTCAAGAAAAATTGAAATCCGTTAATTAGAAGAGCCGTGGTAATTGTTTAAAGATATGCGTAATTTTTGCGCTTATAAACAAATAGAATAACTTTACAAATTCATTATAATAATTATTTTTTTAAATTATGCTTTCAAAGTTCTCGGAAAGACGCTACTTTAAAAAAAGAAACGTGGTGATTCGTTAATTGGTTCCAGAGTTATAGTTGATCAAAGTTGACCGGCATTTGTGGCCTAACTACGAGGTCTGGAGGGCTGTTTTTTAAACAAATACTTTTGTCATTCCGAGTACTTTCCTTGAGTGAATTTGCAAAACTTACGCCCTTGTGCAACCCATATAAAATGTCGATTTAAACTATTGGACCGAACATGAAATTCACGAAAAATTTATGAGAGGTAGTGGCGGGGGAAGTCAAGACATCGGCTACTCCGGCCGACTAGAAATTGAAATCGCGCTTTCAAAATAGCGGCGCACTTAAAAATTTTGATTATCGGCTTCTAGTGGTCCGATTTTGATGTTTTTTTTTTAAATCGATGTTTCACGAGCTGAAAAGTCAAAATATCGCATTTTCAAATGCGAATTATTGTTAATTATCGACCTATTAACATATTGATAATTACTACCTTTTAATTTGCTTTACTTTTCTCGTATTTTTCTTTATTCTATTAATGAATATTACTCAAATTTATGTAGTTCTTATCCATACATTGTATTCAATTTGTTTAAACATTCAAAATTTGATCAAGCAATAATTATAAACAAATTTTTAAAATCAAAATTATCTTAGAAAAAAAAGCATTATACTACATTTTTATTGAATATAAATTAATTTTAAGTGTTTATATACATTTTTAAAAATTAATCAATACTTTAATCAGTTAATAATTTCATTTTATTTTAAATATAAAGTTTTTAAAATAAAAAAATTTAAAAAATGGTTTTTGAAACAGATCCCGCCTGGTCTATTACGAAAACAAGAAAAATACATTAATATGGAACTTGTTTTAACACTATACTATAAAACAGTCAAAAATCAAATAATTTGCTAAATAAAACATTCACAGATCATTAGTGATGTGAGTGAAAATATATAACAAATTGATATATATCAATTTTTGATACATATCAGCTATTATATTTATGTTAATAGCTGATATATATCAATTTTCCCGCCATTTCATGAATAAAGCCAAATTTCAAACATAACCTTACATTTTAAAACTAAAAACGTGGTGTGGTAGGCTTGAGTTGGACTGTAGTAGCTCTTGGGTACCTGGAATATCTCCGTCAAAAATGAATATAAAAATCTGAAATTTTAGGGGTGTACTATAGATGGGAAGAACTAAGAGTGCACGTAATTTCAAGTCACCCCTTCCACCCTAGGGGGTGACGGGTGGTTTTTTTAGATGTACCCTACTCATTTTGCGAGTTTCGGATTCTATGCGTAAAACTACCCCCGAAAGCACGTTCTTGCCGAATTCGCACAAAAACCAAACCACCACCCTCATATGGATTTTGTCGTTTTTTCGATGAGCATTTTTCTCCTTCAAAAATAAATATAGAAATCTGAAATTTTAGGGGTGTACTATAAGTGGGGAGACCTAAGAGCGAACCTGATTTCAACTGGCCCTTTCCACCTTAGTAGGTGCAGAGGGGGTGAGGGGTGGTCTTTTAGACGTACCCCCAAGAACGCGTTTCTGGGGGTAGTTTTACGCCTACAATCCGAAAATCGCAGAATAAATAGGGTACGTCTAAAAAAAACCTTTACCCCACACCCTAGGGTGGAAGGGGTGAGTTGAAATTACGTGCGCTCTTAGGTATTTATAGTACACCCCTAAATTTTCAGATTTTTAAGTACTACTTTAAAGCAGTTTCTTTATTATCATAAGTTTTTGATAATTTTTATTTCAATTTTTATCTTTAATTTTTTTTAAGTACGTATTGTGATATACAAAGACTAAATTTTCTTGTTCTAGAAATTTCCCATTTTTTATTTCTGGGTTGATAAAACTAAATTGCTAATAAACAGCGTACTTGCTTATAAACAGTCAGTAGCACGCAACAAAAATTAGAAGTCAGTATGATAAAAAAAATATAAAATTCCAATCTAAATATGAAAAAAAATAAAGATCACTTGATAACTTTTCTTAAAGTTCATATATATGACATGTATTTGGTGTCAAATTAATCAGCAAGGCATTAGCAATATAAAAAAACTAATTTGAATATAGTTTTTTTTTAACAAAATTCATCTGATATATATAATGATATATATTTTGATATATATCACCCAAAACTAAATAGCATGCTATTTTACATCACTAGATCATAATAATTATGATATTGGGATATTAGCAACATAAAAATATCACTATGAATAAAATGCAAAACTCAAAACTGTGGTTATATTTGCTGGAATTTATAGCGTTGTTATCTTATAACGTAACTATATAGTACCTTTCCATTAAATAATGTAAATGCTCCTTTCATCAAGTATTTGAACACATTTTGAAAACATCCGCGTTCCACAGCGTGAGAAACAATACGTTTTTTGTAC